CAACATGTTTAGCCGTAGTATTTAAGTAGAAATTCCAGCATTTACAAAAATATTTCAATAAGTTAATAAAAAAAATACAAAAAAGAAAATAAAGAAAAGAATGATGAAAATGAAAAAAATTCAATGCTCTGCGAACAGGTAAAAAAGATATATTTATAGAATTATCACTAATAAAATATAATCATATCATTCCTTCCTTAGATAAAACCCAAAGTATCCTTCCTTTCGGTATTTTCGAAAGTATCCAAGGACATTGCAGCAATGGATAGTAATGTTGGAATATTCTCAATAATTTAAATATTTCAAATTTTGAAAAGAAAAATTGATAAAGATGGAATAAATAGATGTTATGATTCAACTTCCTGAGATCACCCAACTTAATTTACATTGAAATTATGCAAATTATTTCTTATCTCCTATAGCTTAATAAAACTATATCTTCATTAGTTTGGAAATTATCGAAATGTCTTGAAAACTTCAATTTCCAGTTTTTAATCTTATCTTTTTACTTGCCAAAAATTGAAAGTGATTATTATCAAATGGTATGCTGATCGTTACTGGAAATATATGAATGTATTTATTGTTGCTCCTTCATTAACATTAACATTAATAACATTATCATTAATGTGACCCTATAAGTTTATAGGGTATTGTTGCTCGTTATTGTTGCTCTTTATTGTTGCTCCTTCACTAACATTAACATTAATAACATTATCATTAACATTATCATTAATGTGACCCTATAAACTTAATTATATATGAAATCGATTGATACTTGAAAAAGAGGCAAAAGAAAATGAAATGAATGCTTCAATTTTTCCTGTGTAGTTTCGTAGCTTCTCGCATTTGAGTATCCATGAAATTAGCACCATCACCTTTTATTTGAGCATCCAAATGCTTCATCGCATCTCGTATCAAATTTAACGCCGTCTAAAAAATAATTTTAATTGAAAATATGTAAAGTTTAAATTGACCGATATGGTTCCGATTAAACAAAACTTGAAAATTAGTTTGATTCGAACAAAAAAAGTAAAAATTTTGCAAACGCTGGAGTTCAGTGTAGTTTCATAATTAGTAATTAACTAAAATTTTAAGTAATGAACTGAAGCTATGCACATTTTAATCCGAAACAGAGCAAGGAATTACGGTATTGCCAAAAATGAAAATAATGAGCAATAACAGTGATAATAAATAGTAATAATATAAAATAATCATAATGATAATAATAATAATAATAAATATTTGCATCAAAAATTTTTCAGATTTTTCAATTTTACTGAAAGATATTAAATTTGAAAAAAATTCCATTGGATTAAGCAAAATAATAAGAACATCAAAAAGAAAAGTACCTGAAATTTATGAGACCACAATGAGGGGGTAGTGTAATCGCGAAATATCTGATAAAAAATCCCTGATTTTAAACTTGGATCACATTCCGAAGTTGGTCGTGCTCGATAAAATAATTCACCAGTTCCGGATGCGCTTTTACGACCAAACAAACATACATTTCGTTCTTTGTACCACGGCGTTTGAACATCTGAAATGCTACCATTTTCTATTTTTAAATTACTTTTCGAAGTTTTCAAATTTCCATAGCAATTACAAGAAAAGTGTTTTAGTCAGTACGATCACAATTAAATTAATTACTGCTAATATTTTATCGAACAAAATCTTTCCATGCATTTGTAACATAAATGTTATCAAATCACAACGAATATTACGAATACTTATTAATATATTTAAGTAAAATAGGAAAATTTACACATTTCTAAATGATTTACACAGATTGAAAGCTAATATCATCGCTTATTTTCTCCTTCTTTAATTTTTGCTTCTAATTTTGAAATCTTCCTTTTTCTTCTTTTTACAATTATTGATACAACTATGGAATAAAATTTATCATTTATTACATCATTAGCTAATGATAAATGCACCAAATAGAAGAAATGGAAGAAATTTTGATACCTTTATCCAGTTTTCCTTTCATAAACTGCTGCTCATTTTGATTTTCAATCTGAAAATTTAAACCAATAAAATTGTAAATAATTTTAGGATGAAACAGTTAAAACCTCAA